AAATATTGAACACAATGCAGTAGCTAAAATGTGTCAACTGAAGAGTGTTAAAAAAAATTCTTCAATTAATCAGATTCAAAGTCAGACTCCCACTATTTTTATTATTTATTTAGAAGTCCAAGCAAATGAAAGGTCAGTCATCTTCCTCAAAATGATTATTTGATTATATCGATTAAGATGACGAGCCTCTTTCTTGTCGAGGACCATTACCGTTTGAATAAAGTCCTCCAAAAGCCCATATTACCTGTATGAAAAATAAGAGTTAATAAATCTTCATTATTATGCCTATATATGACGAGCATTTAACTCTCCTGTCCTAATTATTATTATTTATTTAAACTTTACCTGCTGTTTCGCAGCATATGGGTCATCGGAGTGTGATTCATTATTCATGAGGAGGAAAAACAAAGATTGGCTCTCGTTTGTTTTTGTCCACCATCTTAATTCCGGAGAAATGGCCCAAATGCCCAAAGGAAGTGGGAACAAAGGAGGAAAAGGCGGAAAAGTAGGTTTCAGCAAAGGAAAGATGTTAGGATGCGTGAACAAAAAGCAGTTGTGAGGGGAGGAATGTCAGAGGGAATGAAGGCAGAAAAAGTAGGTTGAAGCAAAGAAGGAAGGATGTACGTAAGGATAAGGGAAGGAAGGCAGAAACGTGGCATGAAAGGAAGTTGGGCAAGTCACAACGAAGGAAGGAAGGCAGAAAATTGATTAAAGTGAAGGATGGACGGCACTGCCCGCCCTGTTTTACGTGTCTCCTTCCTCCAACACACCTGATTCAAATGATCAAGATCGTTTCAGGCCTCTGCAAAGCTTGCTAAAAAAAAACAGACAGCATAGGAGTCCCACAAGGACCGGATTTGGGCACCCCTGTTGTATAAAGTACATAGAGTAGCTTTCCAAGTGCTATTAGCACAGCTGCAAGTCGGCGTTTCCTGTGTGTGGAGTATCGCAAGACATTAATGCGTTTAGCTGATGGAGGAGATCTGATTAGCGTCTTGTGTGTTGTTTACCAGTGAGGCTCAACACAGCGTTAAGACCAGCCAAGATAATACCCGCCCCACCCCACCGCACAGCCCCCCATCCCCCTTGAGCCGCGGAAAGTGAAACTCACCTTGATGACGGTCGCTATGGTTAGCCTATAGCAGGCTAACTATAGGATGCTTGTCGTGTGGCAGCACAGTGAGGAAGTGGTGAGCACGTCTGTCTCACAGTTTTGGGGTTTGGGCTTCGGATCTCTGCTCGGGTCTCCGTGTGTGAAGTTTTTGGAGAGTCTAAATTGTGAGCGTGTACGGTGGCCAGTGGCTGGTGACCAGTACAGGGTTCACCAAAAGTCAGCTGGGAGAGGCTAGAAAATGGATGTGTGGATTGTATCGAGTAAGGCTGAGTGATTTTGGATTTTTTTTTTTCCTTTCAATATTTGAATTGTGATTCAATATGCAATTATTTTTGTTTTTCAAGATGCTTTTCTCAGATACTGAAATATGACATGACTATGTATAGTATTTTCATATATTGTTGGGCAGTATAGTGTGTCATTTAAACAATTTAAATTTGCTCAAATAATATATTTGTTGATCATTTCTGTTCACAAATTATTTAGCAATTGCGATCAGATGAAATTTGCCCCCTGAAGATGGACTAATTTAAAGTAACACTGCATAATTTCCGTTTTATTGTCTACCCCCGTACCCTTTTTTTTTGAAATACGCGTCTCACAAAAAAGCAAAAGCTAACAACATCCTGATGTTCCATTCTTCTGGCATGTAGTCATCCAAAAAAAAAAATGCTTGACTTCATTCATGGATGAAATCAATTCTGCTAGTTTCCTGTGATGTGGATCCAGGGAGCTGTTAGCTAGCTGCTAACGGTTTAGCCGCATATGTGTTAAGGTATTCATGGGTGCCAATGGAATGGGCCGCGCTGCACGGGCATGCCAAGTGGATGTTACTGGCGTCGGGGTAAGGGGGGAGTGGTGAGATAATGCTGACGCGCTGTACTTTAGTCATCAAAATAATGAAATGGAGCCTTTTATTTTAGTCTGCAATTCCTTTCCGACCAAGTGGACGACTGTGCTCGTACAGTAGTGTCACGTCTCGGCAAACTGTTCAATTTAATTTGTTGGACACATATAGTTCAGTCCCCCCCTCCTCCAGGATCCAAAATGGCATCCTCAAACCAGGAATTATCTACCCCACTAACATAGAGATGGACAAACCAAAACACATCACTTCTTTCCTTTTTATCAAGGGAATCAAGAGTGGTCTGTTCGCCCCGTCCCATGATTAAAAAAAAAAAGTAGTACGGTCCTGTTGTCTTTCGTCAGCCTCAATGACCTTGAAACTTGCCCGCTAACATACGGACGGACAAACGTCACTTCCCGAATGTTGTGTTTGTTCTTTTTGGCATTTAGGTCGCATTAGAAGCGAAGCTCCTATTTCAGAAAGCAACATCTGCCTAAACCTCTCATGACAATGAACAAAAATAAATAGGGCCGTCCACTATTTAACTTTTACCTTTTTTTTCCCTCCTCTCTGCTTCAGCATTAAAAATAATACAGTTCTGTCATTTTACATCATTACGAAGTAGCTAACACAGAAAAGAAAATCTAATTTCTTTTAGTATAAACAGAAATATGAATTATAATAATCTTCACAGCACTGTGACATGATCGTTACCAGCAAACTGCATTTCCTTTCATTTAGCTAAGTGCTAAGTGCTTGTGTTGGCGTGAGTGGAGTCTAATAGACTGTAAGGACAGGGCAAGAGCTAGCAAGTCCAAAGAGAAGCTCTGTGATCAAAACATCCACAGGATTAATAGCTGGATACAACACAAGAGCTAGTTAAGCTAATAGCCATCTAGCTTCTGTGAAAAACATAAGTGCTTGTTCCCTAACTGTTCTGTTGAGAAGACAAGTGCTAGTCTTTTGATGTTGACCTTCCGACGGCCTGGCGTTGTCGCTTGTTATTAGCTGTCTGACTGTATTTTGACTGCCAAACACCTGCTTGCGTTGCCTTTGTTGCAGTCTGCATTTGGCGATAGCCTATGGGCTAAAATTCAAATCACTGTATTAATTGAATCCCTTCATCGTAATGCTCGGTCTCCGTATCATGATATAAAATTGAGTATTGTGTGAAAAATTAGATTGGAAGTATTTCTGAACGGGTTGTATGCAGTTGTCCTTTGTAAAAGCTAAATTGATGAAAAAAGACCAACAAAAAAAAAAGATACTGTGTAATGTAATTTTGAGAACATCTTATGCAGATCTCAAAAGTCAACATTAAAACTGAGCATTCTGGTACAAAAAAAAAAATGAAATAATGTTTATATCAACATTTACTTTACAATGTAATCTATTGTATTCATTTAGCCACCCTAGCTAGCCAGCTCCAGCTCGTAGCTAGCTGGCGTGGCGCAAGATAGCGTGGTGTATCACTGTTGGATATGGACTCACCGTTTTTTAAACCAGTTCCGAGATGGATTACAAAAACTGAAAGACGCAAGACAACAGTACCTTTTTTTTATTTTTATTTTATTTTTTTTATATATTGCGTGGGAGGAACCATTCTATTGTGACTCACACAGCACATTCATTAAATGAAAGTGGGGAAAAAAGTCTTGAAAAATAATTTCTCTTTTTATTCGCTTGCAGGCTACACGTTGGTTTATGCAAATTATGTAAGACAACAGGTTTGTAGCATTTTTTTTTAATTCTAGAGCAGGGGGAAATCATGCCATTGTGACTTAGGTGGAAAGACAAACAAAATTCCTCAAACAAAAACTGAATTTTTTTGTATGTTTGTTTTGTTTGTTAGCTAGCTTTCTACTTCCTGGTTCATTCACGGAGGACATAGTAGGAAAGTGGTCCGGAATTGAGATGGACTTTTCCATCATGATTAAAATTGCCAAAATGAAAAAAAAGGCATACATTTCTTCATTTAAGTTTTCATTTTGTTGAAAATAACTTAAGATGGATGGGACTCTACCATCTGCATTCTGAAGCAGAGGGGAACAGTTCTCAAAAAGTATAACTAAATTCCCAAATTAGAATTTAACATTATTAGTGAAGCGCCTGCAAGTGTTTCTCTGGAGTGACCATTGGACTTTGTCATCTGCAAAGCATGATCGGTTGCAGAATGTCCATTTTCCAAAAACCGAACTGTAAACCATATTCAGATTTCGACTTGAACTCCGCAGTTGAATTGAGTGCATCAGCTATTGAGCAGCCCTCCGTGCTCCTCCCTTGTTTGACCGTGTGAAGGCCACTTTGCTTCTCTCTCTTTTTTTTTTCTGTACTCTTTTGGACCAATCAGCTGGCCTTCTCCGCTCTTTGGCCTCTTGCACAACCTTTGGCTTTCACTGGCAGGCTTGTGGACAGGCGAGTGTCCATGTAGGACTCTGCAAAGACACTGTTGGGGACACACAGAATCGAATCAGTACAATTAGGAGGGGAAATGGGCTTCTTGAAATGTTTATTCCCACTATACTACGTCTTTTATTTCCATGTTATTACAAGTCAGTCCTTGTGATGTTATGATATTCTCATTTTAGCATTATTTTTACATTTAGACATTTTTCCCCATCTTTCAACTTAATCATTCTATTAGAACTTTATTCCGCTCGCATGGCGACATATTTTTTTCGTTGATTGTCAAAACTTTATTCCTGTAGTTTTATAGAGCACTTTAAACACAACCATCAATAAAAATCTGACATATAAACAACAAAGACAGATAAAACAATCAACGAATTACCTGAAAACAGGATACACAATAAAACAGCGCCGACTCGCATGCTGAGTCGAAAGCCATCGAATCAAAATGTGTTTTTAAAACCACTTTTAAAACGATTTCATTATTACTATTACAATACCATCCCCGGTAACATTATGACTTTATTATGCAAAGAGAGCGAGCTATCATGTCCTACCTCTCTCTCTCTCGCTCTCAACCCCCCCCCCCACCCTCCCTCTCTCTCAAAGGGAGTGTACACACTCATCTTCCTTGTGCTTGTTCACACACGCATTTGCCTTCACGCAGAGTGCGTGTGGACGCGGCGGCGGTGCTGGATGTAGCGGAGATAAAGTCAATGTTTCTTTTCCCCCGTGCCGATCCGCTTTGCCCCGGAGACATAACAGATCGTCCCTCAAGGACCCCTTCCCGCTGACTGCCCCACGGTTCCACCTCCTGCGGTCAGGGTGAGTCTCATTCTCCTCCCCGAGCGAGTGCTTTCATGTCCTGGTGTGACAGGTCACTGTGTGGAATTTGGCGTTGGCTTATTGATCTTTTTACTCTACTGGCTGCTAAGTCCACAGCTGAACTTTTTCCCCTGGAGCACAACTCCAGATGAGCTCGGACAAGATGAAACGTAATTGTGTGCTGCCAACTTCAAAATGGACCGCCGGAGGCACACTTTGTCATTGCCTCCTCCTGAAGTTGACGCAGACTCTGTCCATAAAGATGACAATGACATCATCTGTGGTCTTGAGCCTCTCCGTTCCAAGTCTTGGATGGGGGGATATTTGATGGCAATCGGAGCTTTTAATTGGGGCATCACTGTGGACTCGTGGTCAGCACGTCTGCCTCACAGGTCAGAGGTTCTGGCTTGGAATCTCAGCTGGATTTTGCATGTTTCCTCCCACATTCCAAATAATGCAAATCCAACGTGGTTTGACGCCTTGGATTTGGAGATGTTAGATTGACTTTATAATTGGGGCAGTATGGCGGACAAGTGGTTGACATGTCGGCTTTTTGGACTGAAGGAAAACGTAGTGTAAGAGCAGAATTCAATGGAACGTAAAGAAATGAACAGTTTGTGCATCGTGATTTAGTGCTTTCCATCCCCACCACCCAAAATAAAATAAAATACATAAATTCAAGTGAATGAGACAAGTATTTTATGGAGTCAAAATGATCATCTTATTCGAATACTTTGACAGTATTTTCCACATTCCGAAAATTCCCACGCTCCCTAAATTCTACACTTTTAACAGTAAAATTGGCACATTTTCACAATGGAATTACACATTTACATCCGGTTTTCACACTTCCTCAAACCATTATTCAACAACTATTAAATTCATTTTTAAAAAAATGCAGGAACTATTCCAGGTCTCAAAATGTTCACAATAAAATTCCGAAGTAAAAGTTATTTCACAAATGGTCACTGTCGTGCGGAAACGCCCTATGTCCAAATTGGGTTTCATCATTTTCTTCACAAATTGATATCTTGACCGATTCAAACCATTTTAAGTCTCGCATTCAACATTTCTACAATTCAGTCAATTTCACAGCATTTACTTCCAACTCTTTGACAAGCACACAAAATTTCAATGGAAAATCTCTTGTTCTTTTGTTGTTTAGACTCCATTTTCATGCACATATTTTTCATACATCGACACAAATGTTGTGTTACCATTTTGCCACTTGCGTAATCCATTCCAGACTGCCGCTATCATAAAACATGATGTCTGCCAATCACGTAGCCCTCCGCGCTCGCTCCTGTACATGTTAATCATTACATCTCTCAATGTGCTCCCTTATCCGTCCGCTAGTAAAAAAAAAAAAAAAAAAACAAAACTTGAAGGACTTATCTGATCATGGAGAATGGTGGACGCCAACAGTTATTCATTTATGACCAAATGCCTTAGAAAAAGTGCAAAACAGTCACAACTGGAAGCCTTTATGAAAATGCAAATTGGAAACTTTTTATTTGTTGTTCCACACAGATTTTTTTTTTTTAATCTTGAACTTGACAAATAGACCATATATTAAAATAACTAAAACTAACACTAAATCTAATGAAAGCTAAATAAAATAAAACATTTTTGAAAAAAAAATCAACATGAAAACAAACAAACTTGCTCTGAAAACTAATTCAAACTCAGTGAATTAAAAAAAAATCAAAATGAAATAAAAACTACTATAAAACTAGTATAACCCTGAATAGGCGAGGTTGTGGTTCAACATAATAGAAATTTCAACTTCACATTCAATTACGCGTCTGGCCTGACATACAGAAAATGACACAAAATTGTGAGATAGACGTACCAGAAATGTACCGCATTGTGTCACTTATACATCAAATTCATCCCTAAATATCATTTTAATAAATATTCTCTGTGAAATGTTTTCTCCTTCACATACAATGTAATAAATAGTAGGTCAGGTGAGTCCTGGAGACTGGCTTTTGCAACATTTATTCGACTGCATTCGTGTTTTTATGACAACCTCCCTCAACACCTTTCTGGAAAAAAAAAAGATGCACTGACTTTATAGCAGTTTATTTGTGCGAATGCATTTTTGTAACAAGGAACTTTTCTGGCACGATAATGTTTGGCACCTGTACATTCCTCGACTTGTGGGATGGGTTCTACATGGACACAAGGTGAAAGGAGAAAGGTCAATGTTGGCCTTTTGGATTAAAGACTGGCACAAGGTCACTGTTGTTTGGATTGGGAGTGCTGGCCGACAATTGGATTTGAAGTTATTGATGTGGGTTAGCGGCTTGTAAGCGTGCTACTTGTAGCGCCGCGCCGCCCGCTTCGGCGCTGTGTTGACATCACATGTAAACTTTGAACTCCCCGCGAATGCTTGGCCAAAAGAGGAGTGGCCCGCCTGTGTACTAGGTCATCACTTGCTTTAAATGCGGTATGGCATGCTCTATATACTGCAGCATTAAACTATAGTTACAGAGACGCAGATGTGCCATACACTCCTTTTCTGCTTCGCTTTCTGAGCCAGACGTGGTCAAAACATACCGGCATAAATGAATACATCAAGGCTTATTTTGGGTTTTTTTTTTTTTTTTTTTTGATCTGCGAGGAGCCGCGTGTAAAAATAGCCACCATGGTCTTTTTCGTCATCCGGTTCTCAGACAGGCTGCCCGCCCACCGCGACGACTGCAAGATGCCAGCATCTATTGTCTCGTTACAATCTGCTTTTTAAGACACTATCTTAAATTATTGCTCTCTGTCGTGTACCTACGTCTGAATGAAAAACATGTGAAAAGGGGTCGCGACAGTATCGTCAGTAATATCGTCAGCAATATCTCTTTCTCCAATCCAATGCTTATATGGTCCTAAAAACCATTCCCAACACTCTCTTTTCTTTATTTTATGTCAATCAACACAGCGCGGCCCTCGCAAGCGTTGGAATGGCCGATTAATGCGATGCCAGTTAGACGTCGGGACGTGCCAAGAAGCGTCTTGGCGTTCCACCTTGGCAGCGTCTCCGCATAAAGACCTGGCTGCTCGTGGATCGACCCAAATGCTGCCAGGGATTATCGCACATAGCCAAGTGTAAACAAACCTCTGTCAGGGCACGCTTTGGTGATGCAGTCGAAAAAGGAGTGGAGCCGCCAGTGTCGATTGACCTTTGGCCATAGTCAAATAATGGTCTTGGTCTTTATTGTGAGGCATGTGACGTCTCTTTACAAGAGACCACTTAGTTACCTCCACCAAGGAATGCGTGGAACAAAGTCCAGTATGTTGATACTCACGTTCAGGCATGGATCTCAATCAAACTATCACTCCATTTGATTCAGTAGGTCGTAATGGCCAGGATCGCTTTTACCTGCGAGGCCTAACGAATCTCCACAGCGTTGAGGGGAGACATTCCAGCTTGTCAGTGGCGGCCCGAGGGCAAAAGAAGATAGAGGAGAGCGTAAACTGAGATGTGGCGCGTCACCATTCTTATTCTTTTTGTGGCTCTCTTAAGTCGAGCTGAAAGTATCACCTTTTAACTTGATCTACAGTAACGCTGCTGTACCATTCGGTTAGTCATCTTAGCTTTGTAGCAACTCCTTGCGCCCTCTATTAGTCTACTGGTTTATTTCCTGGTATCTATTCCACACTCAACTCAACTCAACTGTATTTATCGAGCACTTTCAAACAGCCATTGCTGCATACAAAGTGCTGTACATAGAGCAACTAACATATATACAACAATAAAGCAATAATCAGTAACAAAGATGGTAGTAGGCACCAAACAGTAAAACTCGTGACACTGAGAGATAGGCTAGTAGTCCTGCTGTTCCGTTTTTGTCCTCCTCCTGGCATACTCTCCTGGCTTTTGGTATGTCAAACTCGAGACAATTATGGTTTTACTGCTTGTTGTTACCACTCCCGGGTGTACTGTCCTATCTCCTGGTTACGCTACGCTGGGTACCGCCCTCCTGTGACCACCATCTGGTGTCTCTTCCAAAAAGGAGCAAATTGTGGTCTTGCAGGTTTTTGACCTCCACTGGCCCCCTCCGAGCGTACTCCGCCTGTTCTCCTGGTATCTCCTCTTTGCTCTTGACACTGCACTGCAAGATGAGTAAATGGTGGTCCTGTTGTTGGGTTGTCGCCCTCTTATGACAACCTCCCGGAGTAGTCGCCTGTCTCCTGGTATCTTTTGTCCACTTAACATTGTACTGGAAGACAAAGGATCAGATCTTGGATCGTTTTACTGCGTTGTGGCACTCCTGTGGCCCTCTGCATCTCTACTAGCCTGTCTCCGCATATCACCACCACACTCTCAGTACAAACAGCCTCATGCTAGTGCGATGCTAGTGCTATAACAATGATAAAGTGATATTTACCAAAAAAAGTGGTAGCATGTAGTCAACAACCTGGTTCAAGGAGGATGAACTTTATCTTACTTCACTCAGTTGAAATGACTGATGCAGACAGTAAACCAATAAATCCGGCGATGACTTTTGGTTACTGTACCTTCGATTGACCGCACAGGAAGCCATTTAAGGTGACTTGGAGGCAGTCGTCAAGACTTGAGCTTCCATGTCAGTAGCTGCCCAGTCTCAATGTCTTGTCTGTCAAACTCCTCCCGCCCTTTATTTATAAGTAATGAGCATGCAGCAGGCAGGCTGGCAGGCGGAGTAGCCAAGTAGACATTCTGGCTGGCTCGCCTTGGTCCCAGTGGACCAGACTCGCTTATCTTGCGCCATAATGACATATGCATCGATTATCCGGCAACGGAGGCCGCTCAAAAAAAATACAGTATATACTGGTACCTCTGATCTTGGTAATGGCTTGTCATCATTGACGTTTGACTGCATCAACTTTGCCCGGGCGATGGAATCAGAAGAAAAACAAAGATTGACAAATTAATTCTCATCCTGGACTGGAGAATATATCATCAAAATGAAAAATAATCATTGGATAGGTTATGGTTTGTGAATAAGCGTTAACATACAGACCATTTAAACATACAAATAAACATAGAGAAAGGAAGAGGAACTAAAAACGCTACCCTGTGGAACCCCACACACCTAGCGCATCGTTGCGGTGCCATCAAAACATCGAATCCATCTGGTTACGCTTACGTCACCATTGGAGAGACGTACTACTATTGCTACTAGTACAATTGTCACTTCTAATACCGCTTCTGTTACTGCTCATTTGTACTACTTCTACAACATTTTTATGACTCACCTTAGTAATAAAAATGACTACAACCTCTATTACTATTCCTACTTTCTACAACTACCACTACTTTTACGGTTTGTGTACTGTACTGTACTCTTCTGTTTATACAATTACTAATACTCTGTGGCGGGGTGGCCATCGTGAATTTCGGGAAAATGTGTTAATTTTCCCGAACGGCTGCTGTGTTTCCGGGCCTGTCCTGGGCATCATGAAAATATATTTATTTTTTCTGGGGTTTGAAAATGATGAAACCGATGTTCCTATTCAGTAAGCAGTCCTTACAATTAAATCAAAGCATTTACATTTTATGTGTGTTTTGCCTAATTCAAAGATAATCCTGGTTTTCCTCATCATTTTTTTTTGTGCCTCCTTGGTGGAGCTGTTAAAGTATTGGTGTTTTTTTTTTTTTTTGCCTCCTTGGTGGAGCTGTTAAAGTATTGGTGTTTTTTTTTTTTTTTGCCTCCTTGGTGGAGCTGTTAAAGTATTGGTGTTTTTTTTTTTTTTTGCCTCCTTGGTGGAGCTGTTAAAGTATTGGTGTTTTTTTTTTTTTTTTCTTGGCCACAGAGCCTATAAATAGAGCGTCTTCCTTTTTGTTGTCAGATGTCATGGCGTCCTCAGTACCGCAGCTCCAAGTTCCGGCACGTGTTCGGCAAGGCGGCCCCCAAAGAGAGCTGCTACGACGGCGTGCCCATCACGCTCAGCGTCCAGGACAACAACTTCTGCGCCGTCAACCCTCGCTTCCTCGCCGTCATCACCGAGTGCGCGGGGGGCGGGGCCTTCCTGGTCCTCTCTGTCCATCATGTAAGTGTCGGTGACAAAAGATGTCGTGCCGCGTAAAAGGTTGGACATCTGCGCTCACTCCTTGGGGGGGTCATGATTAAGCCTGAAAATGGATACTGTACATTTACAAAAATCCGCATCATTACAAGATGGAAAGGATTTTTTTCTAGGCCGATTCATGGAAATCCGTTTTAGTGTAATTGTACTTTTTGTACTGCTGCTACTACTATTATTACTTTGACTTCTTTTACTACTCCTACCACCATTTTTTTTCATTCACAGTCAGAAGCTGAGCTTTTCAATTGTTTGTTTAAATAATGCATTTTTTTTCCTCCTCTGAATGTATTAGCTTTGTTTTTTTTTGTTTTTGTTTTTTTTTTACTTTACCTGTGTGTGTATCCTCTTCACAGACCGTTTTGAACATGCTTGTATTTGATATAATTTATGCACCAGTCTCTGTACGCTCAGTTTAAATATATACCATAGTCATAAAAGACAGCCATACAGATATTTAAATGTATTTTATGATTTTTATTTTTTATTTTTTAAACATCATATTAACTCCTCAGACGGGTAAAGTGGACCCTCACCACCCGCGCGTGTCGGGCCACAGGGGCAATGTGTTGGACGTAAAATGGAATCCCTTTGACGACTACTGCATCGCCTCCTGCTCTGAGGATGCCACGGTTTGAAAACACAGAGACACACACACACACAGACACGCATGCTCGTGCACACAGAATCTGTACTCTACCGAGGCGTCATTCCCTTGAATACGAGGGGAGTAGAGGTGAGATAATTTTCTGGTGCCTCACAAAAGGCTTAAAGAGGAACCAGGAGTCATCCCACACATTCCTCAGGAGTAACTCATCCAGCTTTACCTCCTCAGAGGTGACGTTTGCACTTCGCTGGTTGATTTCCAAATGTGGTCCTCTTTACAACTCTGCAGAAAAAATACCCAAAGTTTCAGGCTTTTGCTAGAAAGTTTTAAAGAAGGCAGGAAAAGCCAACTAGAATAGCCGAACTTTATTTGCTGATTTGTTGTTTGTTTTTTTTTTTGTTTGTTTTTTTTAAATAAGACAAAAACCTAGCTTTTGAACCGGGGTGTGTAGACTTTTTATGTACAGTGTATGTACTCAATACTTTCAACTCATTCGCTGCCATGAATGTCGATAGATGCCAGTATGTCGGCTTGACAATGAAATGTGAATGAATTAATGAATGAATGTGTATCTCCAGGTGAAGGTATGGGAAATCCCCCCTCACGGGCTCTTCAAGAACATGACAGTGGCCTGGAAGGAGCTACAGGGCCACAGCCGCCGGGTGGGCCTCATCGAGTGGCACCCCACCGCCAACAACATCCTCTTCAGCACCGCATATGACTACAAGGTCAAGAGCTCACCACTGTGTCCAAATACTATTATCAGGCACCGGAGTGTATCACAATGCAGCCAAACAGGTCTTAACTATTTAAAGGCGATGCATTCTTATGATAGAGATCACACACAGCTTCACCAAAAAAAAAAAAAAAAAATGAGGGAGGTTGGCCAGCCAAGAAGTAATGAAAGCATGGATTGTTGTCACAAAAAAAAAAAACTAAATTAAAAAAAATAAATAAAATGGACAAACCCCACCAAGTTGATGATTCAATTCAGAAATGTGGTTAAAGCTAAAAAAATAAATAAATAAAAATAAAAAAGATAAAATAAAATCGCCTGCTATGTTTTGGAATAATCCGGAACAGGGGTGCATGCCACAAATGTGAACAGACACAAAATAATCTTAGAGGAAAAACGTTACAAAAAGCTCAAAACTGACACAGTACAAGTTAGGGAGCTGGAAAATAGAGCCAGGAAAAAAAACTTCATGAACAAAAAGCGCTTGCAGAAGGCAAAGAAATAAATAACGAAAATAGCTTGTCACAAAAAAGACAAGAAAATCCAATCCATGGCGTAGACAAAAACGGCAGACAAAAATCAAGTGTCCAGAGAATAAGCACTTGGTACGAGAGTCGTGAGCAAGGCAAATAATCCGACAGTAAATTGTCGGCGTAGCAGTCCTTACGCACTCCACCGATGGTGACACGTGACAGGTGCGGTGTTGGAGGGAAACGCCCACCACTCCCGCTGGAAACTGAAACCAAGAACAAACACGAACGTGGCAACGCCAAAGATAAAGATTTAGGCACTTTACAGTGCTTGATGCGTCCCCTCCTGCCGCCCCAGGTGATGATCTGGAACCTGGACTGTCCGGAGCAGGTGATCAAGAATCCCGTGCGGACCATCAGCGTCCACACGGACGTGGTGCTGTCCATGTCCTTCAACACGGATGCCAGCCTCTTGGCCACAACGTGCAAAGACAAGAAAGTGCGGCTCCTGGAGCCGCGCTCGGGGACCCTGCTGCAGGTAATTTGGGAAGCTATGGGAATCCGGTCTTTTTGAACCTTCTGGGCAACCGTACTTCAAGTTTTATACAGAAACTTTGTTGACTTCAACCCTTTGTCCTTTCAATTGATGGGTGAAAAAAAGTGTCCAAAATGTCAACGTAAACTTGTGCATTTAATGAAGACGCTAATGGCGGCCATCACTTCCATGGCTTTACCTGACGCACGGAGATTTCGACTGACTCCACTTTGACTGGCTTTTGACCGCGTGCGTGAAAAGGCTGCCCTGTCACGATTTGCAACCCATGTCCTGTGCCGGTTGCCAGGAAGCCAACTGCAAGACGCACAAGGCCACCAAGGTGCTGATTCTGGACAACGTCAACAAGCTGCTCACCGCAGGCACGTCCAGATGGAACGACAGGCAGATTGCACTCTGGGATCTGGTAAGGACCAATTTCATTTTTGCACTTTGTTTTTTATTTTATTTTACCTAATGTTAGTTGATTATATTTTCTTAATGGACGGCACGGTGACCAACTGGTTAGCACGTTCGCCTCATAGTGCAGAGGTGCAGGGTTTGAATCCGGGCTCCGGCCTTCGTGTGTGGAGTTTGCATGTTCTCCCCCCGTGCCTGTGTGGGTTTTCTCTGGGTACTCCGGTTTCCTCCCACATTGTAAAAACATGCATGGTAGGTTAGCGCCCTAAATTGTCCCTAGGTGTCATTGTGCTGGGTTTTTTTCTACAAAATTTAAATACTTGAGTTCACTTTGTTTTATCAAAATTAATTTTACATCTGCATTTTGTTTTATTTATTCATCCCCTTAACATTGTTTTAAAAGAAAACGATCATACATTATCATGATTATCATCCCCGATTATAGTCTCAAAATGCGAAATTGAATCTGATTTTATATTACGGTTTTGTGCTACTTCAGTTTCCCACATGATGGTTTGGTTGTACTGTATTTGACTTGTGACGTGGTACGCCTAATAGGAGTGATTTTGACTTGAGGAGAAAAATGTTCACGAGCATTTGTAATGATAAGAACGTCTGTCATGTGTGTCAACTCCAGATTATATTCCTTTGACCTCATTTTGCCTCTGTGTCCGAGAGATTGATTTCACTTCTGGCCCAGCACAACAACAACAACAACAACAACAACAATAATAATAATAATAATAATAATTATTATTATTATTATTGTTATTCAAATAACAATCCAGAGTTATGGGGAATTGACAACCTGAATCAGAACGCAAATCGGTTGATGTAACGCTTCAGGTCACTTCAGACAGGTGAAATCCTGTAGTAACACAACACTGACATCTAGTGGACACATTCAAGCACGAGCATTGCAGTTCCTCCAACAGTCCAGTACTGTATTGCGCTGTCATTGGGACCATTTAAAAAAAAAAAAAAAAGGAAGCTTTCAATTTTATTTTTTACTGTCACACTAAACATTAAACAGAGGATAATGACGTGTGATAACTTCAAAACATTAAAGTTTTGCTTTTTTGAGCTCAATGCTTACAAGCGATGCAAAACGCCTTTGGCTAGTTAGCACTTAGCATCGATCGTCGATTTAGAGGCAACAGATGCAGACTGATAATAAAACTCGCAGGCATATATTCTTTCTTCGGGGGGGGGGGGAACGAATGAATGGCATTTCCATTCATTTCTAATGGGAAAGATGATTTGAGTTGGAAGTGTTTATAGTTACAAGTGTGGTTAGGGAACAAATGAAACTTGTATCTCAAGGCGCCACGGTGTATATTCTATATTATTGCATGATTCCGTGTGTTGGTTGTCAGTTGTTGTTTTGGCGTGCAAGAAGGATTATGTCCAAAGTGAAGGATTAGGGATTGAGTGGGTTTTTTTTCTCTGAAAGACTGACTGACGACTCTCTCTCTCTCTCTCTCTCTCTCTCTCTCTCTCTCTCTCTCTCTCTCTCTTTCCTCTGAATTTGTGTCACGGGCTTTTTAACTTGGAAATATTCAGTGTATTTGATATATTTCAAATCGTGTCCACCTTTCGGATATCTGTTTACTTTTATTTTATCTCCTTACTTTGTTTTATTGTCATTTTAAACCACCGTACTTGGGGAAAAAAAATATGCACCACCATAATTTGCTTCCTGTTTCATTTCACTTTTGTTTTATTTGACCTCTTATCCTGTTACTTCATTTTGTTTCTCTAATAGCACCGTACTTTATTTTACTTTAATTTATGTTAGCACCTTATTCTATTTTATTTCACTTTTTTCACCGCCTTTATTTTATTTCAGGACATTACCACCTTTGTTTCATTATACTTAATTTTACCGCGTCATTGTGTTTTATTTAACTAACTACATTTCAAAACGTGAGTTGTTTTATTTTCCAACCATACTTTGTTTAATTTACTCAATTTCCCAACTTTAGTTTTTACACCCAACTTTGATGCATGTCGCTGTCTTTTTTGTTTTTACCACGTTGCTGCATTTTCCTTTGCCCTATTACTAATTTGTGGCCATGACAGCAATGGTGGGGCAGTGCAAAAGGGATCCAAATGTTATTCATGTCACTGTAATTTATTCAGCTTTTTTGTTGTTGTTGTTTTTGTTGTATTTTTAGGATGACTTGTCAATGCCTTTGTTAGAGGAAAACATGGATGGTTCGTCGGGATTCCTCTTTCCGTTCTATGACCCTGACACACACATGCTGTACTTGGCCGGGAAGGTGAGCAATCCTGCGGCATCCTGAACACACGCTCGACAATATCAAACAGCGGAACCTTGACTTACGGTAGGTATGGTGTCGTCCAAGATTTGGCGTTAGCTCAGAGCCGTTGCTGTCTCCTGCAGGGGGACGGGAACATCAGGTACTATGAGATCAGCTCGGAGAAGCCGTACATTCACTACTTGACGGAGTACCGCTCCACTTTGCCTCAGAAAGGGATGGGTAAGGAGCACGCCGGAGCGCGACAAACATTTTTTTGTCTGTCTGTATTTTTTGTGGTAATATTTTTTTTTTCCTCTTGTTAAATATTGTTTATTCTCATTATCACTCCCATTATCTGATGTTATGCTCATTTTTTTTTTCTTTTCTAACAATGTTTTTTTCCTGTAGTATTACATTTATTTTCTCGTTGATTTTTTTTTTAGATCTGAGATTATTATTATTATTTTTGTATTATTATCTTTTCCCTCATAATATTTTGTGTTTACGATTGTAATATTTTGACTTTCTGGGTAATATTCTAGTTTGCTCTTGTAAACAATTTAGCTTATTATTGTGAATTATTCTTTTTTTATTATTTATCATCTCTCTCTCTCTCTCTCTCTCTCTCTCTCTCTCTCTCTCTCTCTCTCTCTCTATATAAAAATTTAATTAACTCTTAAACTATTATTTCTTGACTGGAGATGTTGAAGTGAATTCTTATAACATTTTTACTTCTTTTTGGTCAAAAGTGAGGAAGTTGGTTTGAAATGTACTTTTATTTGGATATTGTTATGCCTTTCTCACAAAATATAAAATCTTAACATACATAATTTTTGGGGGATTATTCTTGTCCTTTTCACAGTTTCTCTTAAGCATAGTCATTTTCTCATTGTTTGAGGTTTTTTTTTTAAATATACTCGAAAAATATTGCATTACCTTATTCTTTAAAAAAAAAAAATCCCTGCACTTTATTTTTCTCTCTTCATGTTCCAACTTCATCCTTGTAGAATTAATTAATGGGTAATGACGATTATTAATATTATCGACTTCATGAATTGTTGAAAGAGCCGTACTGGACTGAGCAACACGGGAGCCCCTTCCGCTGATTATGTCAGAAGATGAACCCCTTTGAGGGACAGCGGTTACTACAGTGGACGGCTTATCGTGTGATCAGGTTACAGGGCGCATGAAAGGATTAACAACTGTATTTTTTTTCCTTTGGTGATCTCAGGTGTGATGCCAAAGAGAGGCCTGGACGTGAGTTTGTGTGAAGTCTTTCGCTTCTACAAACTGGTGACCATCAAGACGCTCATTGAGCCGCTGTCCATGATCGTCCCACGCAGGGTAAGAGGAAGGCCTCACCGTCCCCCTCCAGCCTCAATGTTTGTTTTTTGTTTTTTTAAGTGACATCATATTTTGTTGCCATTTGCAGTCAGAGTCGTACCAGGAGGACATCTATCCAATGACGGCGGGCAACAAGCCCGCTTTGACTGCGGACGAGTGGCTCAGCGGCATCGACAGAGGTCGCCGGCGCTTAGCGATTCGTTATATTCACATCATTGGATTACTTTTTTTTTTTTACTTATTTTTGAAATATTTCAATTTATTGTATTTTTTTATTTTGTCTTCAAGAAAATGGTAGTACGGCGCAGTGTTTCTTGTATTTTTTTTCTTTTAAAATTTTCAGATTATTCTTGTAAAATTCTAAATCTAAAATTTGGTATTTTAAGACAAAATTTTATAATTACGTTCAATAATGTCTGTAACGTTTGGAGTTTCGTCTCATAATATTGAATTTATTACTAGTCATGTTTAAAAACATGTATCGTCAACATACCTAAGTATCTTTTTTTTTTTTTTTTTTCTTATCCACATTTCCTACCATCTGCTGTGCAGGCCCGGTGATGATGTCACTGAAGCCTGGCCAGCCCGTGGACGAGTCGAACGGCGAGACCGACAAAGATCCGGGGAGGACTCGCGGCCGAGCGTACATCAGGGAACAGCCGGGCGGCGGCACGACAGACAACAATGGCGTGGTAGACGACGGCAGGACGGCAGTGAGCAACGGACAAGACTTCCTGCTCTGCTCGCCGCCCAAGACGGAAAACGAGGTAGTGAGAGACTCTTCTTTTCGGGTTGGATTGATTGACAGGCGACTGAGATTGGGCTAACTCCATTGTTGTCATGTTGGAGGCGAGTGATTCAGTTTTATGGTGCAATAAAACGGAGGACAGTTTTCTTTTGATTTTTTTTTTTTTTTTTTTTTTTTATGGCAAGGATTACACATGGATGTAAATTAATAAAATGTCATTCCGAACCAATATAAGAATAATTATGATCGTAGAATATGAAAAGACTACCAAAGCACTCTGCTGCAAAACTAATTCAGATGCAGGTTGGTGCAGTTACCTTGAAAAAGTAATTTAGTACGGCAGTTACTTTACTGATTACTTGAATTTAAAAGTAACTCAGTTATGTTACTGATTAGTTGAGTTGTAAAATAAAGTTAGATTACCGGTACAAGTTATTTTATGAGTTTCTTTTGCCAGACACCGACAACACTGCTTAACATTTAAAAAATCACATCTTTTTTTTTTTTTGTTACTACCTTTTTCCGGGGTTGGGATTAGGGATGCACGATTTTAGAAAAATAATCTTTTTGTGATTTTTTTTTTTTTTTTTCTTCCCCTTCAAATATTACAATTGCGGTTTAATATGCGATTATTCTTTTCAAGGGCCCCTTCCCCTGTATTTTTTTTTCATTTAGGGTAAGCATTATGGACAATTTTGAAAAAATAATGTTCTTGTGATTCCTTCCCCCCACCGTCAATTTTGTAAATTCCTATGCGATCATTCTTTGAAGTGCCTCTTTTTTCTTTTTTTTTTCAACAAATGCAAGCACTCATCTGTATTCCAAACAAGATCCGATTTTCTTAAGCATAAATATCTGCCACCCGTACATGTAGATCTGATCATTAAAAGCGAGCAAGCGAGCGTGACTCAATGGCTGACGTTGATGTTGTCCACAGCTTCGCGTGAAGTTTCACAAGCAGCAGGACGAGATCCGGCGGCTGGTGGAGCTTCTCCACCAGAGGGACGTGCACATCAAGCAGCTGGAGTTGGAGATTAACAACATGAAAAACTCTCAGCAGAACTCACTTTAACACTTTTTTTTTTTTTTTAAGACAAACACGGTCTTTCTGTCGTCGCTTGACACACAATTTAGTGCACATATTCTTGATGTAAATACTCAGTGATTCTTACCCACACACTTTTACAAACGTGCACTTTTTTGTATCGCAGCTATGCAACTTTTTAGCTTTTCTTTTTTTTTTTTTTAAACACTTTTTGTGAGCGGAAAGAAAAAAAAACATGTGATCTGCTTTAAAAAAGAAACAAAGATGCGCGATCATATGCAAATGCATTTTATCGGTTGGCTTCAGTATTTGAAAAAGGAGACTGAAAAGAAAAAAAATACCACTCTGTGATTAAAAAGTGACATCATAAGAATAAACGTAATATTTTTCTTACGATTTGAATTTCAAAATTCACTATTCTTATAAAATATTTTTTTCTCGCCGTGTGACTTCTATCCTCTCAAAGCTTTTAATTTATTCTTGTAAATTCCTTTTTTAAATATAAATTGGCTTTATTTTTTTTTATCTCAGATATCTAGTAATTATTCCCCCCACCACAATAGTTTGAGAATCAACATGAGAATAATTTAAGAAAATCACAATATTATGTGAATAAAAATTTGACCAAAAAAATCATACACAAATGAAAAACATTTCTCAGTCATTTTATGCAGTATGAGACTCAATTATAATTTCTTATGGTTGAAAATATTCCCATTACAAAAGTTGGAATATACCAAAAAAATATTGCAACTTTTTGTGCTAGAGTATTTCTCTTCTTTTCAGTGCACCAATACATATTGCTTCTTTTTTTTTTTTGTTTGTTTCTTTCTAAATGATGTTTTGAATGTTTCCCATCGACTCTTTTGATGGCAGCTTTTGTACACGCCGAGACCAAACGTGCGCTTTCGTCCTCATCCAATGTTGGTCTGTTGAAATCGGGAAGTGCCGCTGCGACATTCGAAGCTCAGCCTCGACGTCTTTGGACATGACATCAAAAGCTGTCGTGCTTCCGTGCTGCCGTTGAGTCACTGTGAAATGACATTTATTTAAAAGCAGAAAATGAGCACCACGAGTTCACTTTGCGTTGATTTTTCATTTGGGCAGGAATAAACTGGCATACTCATTGAACAAAAAAAACATTGTTGACGTGCTATTCATTCATTTTTAATCAAAAATAAATTATTGCAGGATATATTTTTAACTAACTAGTAGTAGTCGTCATAGTAGTAGTGTGTGTGTGTGTGTGTGTGTGTGTGTGTGTGTGTGTGTGTGTGTGTGTGTGTGTGTGTGTGTGTGTGGAGAGAGATGGTGAGAGAATTTTTCAATTTAGACAAAAGGTCGAAAATGCCAGTTATCGAAATAACATTGCATGTTTGTTTTGCTACTCGCATCTGTGGTTTCTTCTGGTAAATTATGAGTTTAGACAAAAATTTGAGTTCAGTCTGTCACTGTATTTTCAGTTCTCACCTGTAGTATTCAGAATTTTTCCTCATAAATTCATCAAATGCAGTCATGGTTTTAAATTACTGTCGTAATATTTAAAAAACATTCAAGGATTTTTTTTTTTTATTGGTAAATGGTAAATCCCGATTATGGTTGGCAATCGCAGGGGACACAAACAAAACAACCCTTGACACTCCCAATCGCACTTTGGTACAATTTAGTGTTCCATGAACCTACTGCCCAAAGACAGCTGGGATAGATAGGCTCCAGCACGCCCGCTACCCATGTGGACAAGAGGCTTGGCTAATTGATGAATGACATTATTAATTACACCATCTTCTAATATACTTTTAAAATCCTATTCTGTTGATAATTATTTTTTTCTTGTAAACTTGTAATTTATCTTCCTCATACAAATTCTACACAGAAATTAAGAGTGAAGCCTCATATTTTTTTTTCTCTTCATATTGACCATTTCTCTTCAGAGGGATAAAAGTACATTTTTAATACTATTCTTTCACAAGTTTTTCAAGAATATTTTTAGTTTCATATTCCTAACTTTAAATAATCCACATACATAAAACATGCAGTGTGTGTATGTATATATATATATATATATAGGGGGTGCTCTGGAGCCTATCCCAGCTGTCTTCGGGCGTTAGGCGGGGGACACCCTGAACTGATTGCCAGCCAATATATATACACTTTCATTGCTCTCTCGTAACAGTGGAAATATTTGTATTCAAAATATTTTAAATAATCATTATTCGTGGAACCTGCCCCATCACATGCAGGCAAACTTGTTACCACAACCTTTTTAGCAGGGTAGAAGAAGAGAAAAGCAGTCCATCACATAATACGATGGACTCGACATCGCCCAACAGTTTCCAGAAAGAATGGACAGAGCCAAGGTATATCCTATTTTTCACATTTTTAGAAAATTGTTATCCTTGATTGAACGTCTAACTCGAACGCGCGCAACCTTGACATGCATATGATCAGAACAAGACAATTGTTTTATTTTTGTTTCATTTACATCGGTCAATTTGCCCTCTTGGTCAATCGTAACAGCTAGCTAAAAAGAAGCCAGGTTCTACTCCTGAGGGAAAGCTAACATTCGTCCGAATTGGAACCCCATTACTGTCATTACAGCGACAGGTATTGTAAACACTAAATGGCGTCGTAAGAATTCTACCATTGATCTAATTTGAGATAATCAAGCCTTTGATAGGCTTGATTATAAATAAATTATCATTAATAAATATGTGGAAGAAAAGCGGAGGTCCAAAATGACCCTCATTCTGCCAAGTGCTACGTCATATTCAAAATAGGTGTACGCGCATGCGTGATACGCACGCGAGCATTTCCCGAAGTGTCCTGTTACTCAATCCACTTGTTCAAAGTTGTTCTTACCTTCCCTCCGTTACACCTATTTCGTCTTGGGCGCCCTTTCGCACGGAAAACGTCAGACTTTTATTTGTCCCACGTCTGTTAACATGGACGCTAAGTCATTGAGACACGCATTTCATGGCAAAAGCGTATGTCATCATGCTCACCACCCAAAAAAATAATAATAATTTTGAACCGTCTTTAAACTGCAAGAGATATATGTACAAATGTAAAATTCTGAGAACACTGTAAACATGTTTTCAGAATTAAAAATTAAATGTTGACAAATTGTCAAATTCATGACTGTTTTCTCCTTAAATATCATAACCGGTAGTTAATTCTTGCAGTGTTATGAGAATGAACTCAGGAGAAAAAACATAAAAATAAATCCCACACCACTTGATTCTCGTTCCTACGCAATACATTTCGGACACCAGCAAAGCACAAAATGTTAACATTTTATTTACAAAGTTGTTTTCTTGTCATACAGAAAGTAAAAATGTCGCTACAACCATGACTTGTGCAACAGGTGGCCACGCCAAAAAACAAAAAAAGGCATGGCTCACTGGCTGCACAGCTGCTATAGCAATAATTTCATTGGGGTGGTGGTTGTTGAGGGGGGCGAAAGGAAACGACATAGAAAGAAAATAAACCCCAAAAAAAAAACAAAAATAAACACAAAAAAAACTTCAGTCAACAAAATATTAAAAGCACAGACCCAAAAACTAGACCAGTCCCAAAGTCCTCACACGGGATACATAATGCGGGATTGACAGTGAAATTGTGGAATGCTGAGTGGCAGGATGCCTGAGAACCCCGGGGGCAGTTTGGGGCGGCGTGGGTGGGAGGTGACTCTCACTTCCATGGAGGAGAGGAAGGGGGTGGTAGGTAGGTAAAAAAAAGTTGTTTGGTGACGGGTGGTCCACACGAGCCACCCATCCAGTATAGTCTTGGCCCAAAAAAGAGCTCAGAGCTGGGGTAAGGGAAGGGCTTGGGGTGGGGTGGGGGGTTGCAAGTCGAAGGAGGTCGGACGTTCGGGTTGGTAGGATGGGGGGCAGGAAGTCGCAAAGTGCGCTCCTCTTGCTTTCTAGTCGTCCTCTTCGTTGTCCTCATCCTCATCGTCGTCGTCAGGCTCCCGCTTTCTCTTCTCACCTCTGCCGGTGGCAGTCTCTGGAAGGGGGACATAAACAAACAAAATGAAACATCAGGATTAACGCTGGTCTCTCTGTCACCGCACCAAGGTTATAATCGTTTGGGATTTTTTGTTAGTTTTAGTTTTTACTTCATTTTGAATTGTTTTTCCTTTAATTCAGTTGCTTGTCATGAGCTTTTAGAGCGGGTTTGTTCGTTTTTATTATTTCAAAAATCTGTCATTGTAGTCTTAGTTTAAGTTTTATATATGTATTAATACATATACGGTGTATTTGTTGAGTACAACCGAAAAAAAAATATTGTGTAAGAAAGTGAATTACAATTCCCAAACGACTTTTTTGTTCTCTGTGGCCGACTAGAAAACTAAAACAAAAGCTCATGTGACAAATTACTTGACAAAGATGAAAACGAAGGATGATTTCTCCATAAGTAGATTTAAAAACGTCAAATTTAGTTTCAGTTACAGTAGTTATCATTTGTTTTTTATGTTTTTATAATTTTACTTGACACCTGTAACCTTGACATTTCAATTCATGACAACTTTTGTCCTGTAACAACTGAACTCTCGTAGCACCACTCTTAAACATTCACTTTCCAGTGTCGTCTATGCCTGATGTTTCATACCGTCGTCATCTTCCTCCTCATCTTCCTCTTCATCATCGACTTCCCCATCCAGTCCGTAGTCTTCCTCCTATCAGGGAGCATTTCCCCCACCCCCAGTTGAGTTTGCATCAAACTTGAGATCGTCATCATCATCATCTTGGCGCCATGGTGGATTTTTGCCATTACCTCATCTTCTCCGCTGACCTCCTCATCGTCCTCTTCTCCCTCGACCTCCTCCTCGTCTTCTTCGTCCTCATCTTCCTCATCAATGTCATCGTCCTCTCCGTCCTCGTCTTCCTCGTCCTCTCCCTCGCCCTCTGGAGGACAAAAGGCACAACGCGTTTGGAGGTATGTTCAATACTACTACTTTTTTTTTTCAGACTGATACCTGTATAAGTACTCAACAATACAGATACCAAGTAACCGATACCACTAGTACCTCAAGTTCAACACAAACAACTCACTCTGATTTTGGAGTCATTTGTAATACATTTGCAAAAAGTGCAAAATGAAACTGACAACTCCCGGAGTTTTAGTCTTTGTTCAAAACAAAATTACATGTTGTACATGTTAAGCATGACACTATGAGGTGGGAGAATAGAGCTGGGCAATAAAGCTGACAAATATATAAAATGGATTTCATGTCAGCCTGATGTTGATAAAAAACAAAAAAAAAATTGTACACCTATTAAAAAAAACATGAAATGGATTCAAAGATAAGAAAAACAACCATAAAAAAATCAAATAAAATGTAAAGTCTGTTGTAGACCGACAAGCACTCCCTCAGCTCCAGACCCTCGACCACTTCACTTCCCACTGACCTTCATCATCGTCGTCGTCCACGCCGTCTCCGTCCACCTCGACATCGGAGTCGGAGGCCTCCTTGTCTTCGCAGTCAAAGCCGTCCAGGTACGTGAGCTGGGGTAGCAGTTTGAACACGCTGTCCTTGTAGTCGTTCATGTTGGTGACTTCGCAGTTGAACAGGTCCAAACGAGGTATGTTCAATACTACTACTTTTTTTTTTCAGACTGATACCTGTATAAGTACTCAACAATACAGATACCAAGTAACCGATACCACTAGTACCTCAAGTTCAACACAAACAACTCACTCTGATTTTGGAGTCATTTGTAATACATTTGCAAAAAGTGCAAAATGAAACTGACAACTCCCGGAGTTTTAGTCTTTGTTCAAAACAAAATTACATGTTGTACATGTTAAGCATGACACTATGAGGTGGGAGAATAGAGCTGGGCAATAAAGCTGACAAATATATAAAATGGATTTCATGTCAGCCTGATGTTGATAAAAAACAAAAAAAAAAATTGTACACCTATTAAAAAAAACATGAAATGGATTCAAAGATAAGAAAAACAACCATAAAAAAATCAAATAAAATGTAAAGTCTGTTGTAGACCGACAAGCACTCCCTCAGCTCCAGACCCTCGACCACTTCACTTCCCACTGACCTTCATCATCGTCGTCGTCCACGCCGTCTCCGTCCACCTCGACATCGGAGTCGGAGGCCTCCTTGTCTTCGCAGTCAAAGCCGTCCAGGTACGTGAGCTGGGGTAGCAGTTTGAACACGCTGTCCTTGTAGTCGTTCATGTTGGTGACTTCGCAGTTGAACAGGTCCAAACTTTTCAGGTGTTTCAGCTTTTTCTATACGAGTTCAAGAAAGGCGGGCAGTTTGCTTTGCAGTCGGTACAGGAAGGGAACACACACAAATAGCCTTCTAATGTGAATACAAATGAAGGCTTTGCACTGTGCTGTTGTTTTGGGGTTTTTTTTTGTTGAGATTTGTTAAGAGACCTTTACTCACTATGTTCCGTACCCCCCAAAAATCTGAACACAACAAAACCTGTTTTTGCAGCAATGCAAGAATACAGCGCATTGCGACTTGTCACCAAGTGAATTGAACACAATTAGACTGCTATTAATACAACTACCTGTGAGTTATAATTGTGAGAGGGTCTACAAAAGAAAAAAGATTTGGACAAACCATGCAGCTGCTCTATCAAAGTTTGGGGGAAAATATTGATTTTTAGTGACATCATTCGTGTCTACGGCGAACCCCCCCTGCGAATATTGACAATCTGCACGTGACAGACGCGCACCCAAAAAGGTTTGTAATAGCCTCTAGATGACATGAGATGGCGGAAAAGCATTCTTTGGCCTGAATCAAGCTCCTCCCCAAATGTCAACATAGTTCATTGGCACAAAGATGCAACAAGATGGCAGCAGGGCATAATTTTTAAATTTCGACACGGCTTTGACCCGAGAACTAAAATGGTGAATAAGTGCGTATTTCAGCAAATGACAGGATGCCCCCCCCTCAAAATAATCTCAATAGGCAAATTTGCGAATACTGAACTGTCAACATGCAGGGTTCACTGTACTCCATTTTGCCTCGACACATTTTTTCAGGGAGTCTCAACTTAGGATGTTTTGTGGTCACAAACAATGTACAACGAACTACTTTGCGCCCCTTCCTGTGTTTGACACCACCACAGGAGTAAAGGGAAAAAACCTTTCTCCTTAAAATACGTCAAAGTGAGACAAAAACCTTCGAACGTACTGTCAAACCCTCAATCGTTTATACCCTTACTTTGATATGTGGAGAAATGGGCTCGCTCTATCGCGACACTCATGTCGCCTCCAAGGTGGTAACGCGACAAGGGTCGCCTTTTGGTTTTGTTATTCTTGTGCCTCACTCCCTAGGCATGACTAATCGATTCATGCTCACTCAAATTAAAATTAAATTTGAGAATATGTGCCGCTATTTTCCCAGGGTCACCTAGGTTACACTCCAGCAGGGTCTATTTTACGACAAAGAAAATGTCGCTCTAAAATGCCTATAAAGGTTTCATGAGAGAAACTGTCTGATGTTTAAATTATTTTTTTAAAAAATCCATTCCTTGCTATTACAAAAATCCAGACGATCAACCAGCTCAAAGGATAGTGTTGGACTTAGGAGGTTCCACATCCACATGACGTTAGTAAAAGATGTTAGTTTAAAAGGAAAAAAAAAAAAAATTGGACATACCAATGGTTCCAACGTGCTGATCTCTTTCAATTTGTTGCCGCTCAGACTTAGATGTGTGAGGTTGGGGAGTTGCTTCGCTAAGACCTCCAAGCCACCGCTGATTTTGTTGTCGCTCAACTCCAGCTGAGAGAGAAAAGATGCTAAGACCCTGTGGCCTCTCAGCATGAGGCAAGTGCCCGGCCGGCCGCCTTACCTTTTTGAGTTTTTCTAGTCTGGGTATGTTGGAGATTGATGATAAGCCGACATCTATCAAGCTGAGGAAAACCAGGTTGACAAACTCATCTGTGAGCCCTTCGGTGTTTCCGTCGGTCGTTTTGCAGTTGTCTAGGACGAGTTCTCGTACCTGAAAACAAGACATCTATTATTGTTAAATAAATAGCCCAATACAGAGATTTTTGGGGACACAAATCTTACTATTGGATCGGGATACAGGATCTCATTCGACCATAGAGGTCTGCCTGATGTGACTACCCATTTGTCTTCTAAACTTGCTTATTATCGCTAGCCTTTCCCAGCTACATTTTTAGTGACAGGCGGGGTACACCCTGGACTAGTCTCAATTTATTCTTCAAAGAAACCTAACATGCATGTTTTTAAAATGTGAATCACAGAAAACCCACATTAGCGCGGGGAGAAGATGCAAACTGCACACGGGAAGGCCGGATCTCGGGTTCGAACCAACGACCTCAAAACTGTGAGGTGGATATGCTAACCCCTCTCCACGACGGCACCAATGTTCTGGTCAGTATTCGTAAGCGTATCGTGGAACTCTGATAGCGCTACGACGTGACAAACTTCTTTACATTGTTAACTGATGGAAAACAAGTTCAAAGATGTCCACAAGTTAATATTAACACAGCTCCACAGTTAAATTAGTCGTATAGAGACTCTATAGCAGTTGTAATTTATGATTGGCTATTTTAGGACTCAAAGGGTTGTATATTTTTTGTAAATGTTAGGAAACACATAGAGGTTGTATACTCTTGAGAGTTTCGGGACTCCCTAAGACTCATGCACTTGTGAAATTTAAGGGATTGTAAACTTTCTGAATTTGAAGGGAACAGGTTTACCTACATTCTGAAATTTTAGGCACTCTTTCGTCACATACCTTCCAAATATTAGGGAGTCCATAAAAGTATACTTTCAGAAAGCTTAGGCACTCTAAAACAGTCATATAGTGTCTATTCTTAAGTGTCAGGGACTCTGCAGGCGTCATCTGCAAATGTGAGGGACTTGAGATTTTGTGCACTTTATCAGTGTTGTGAACTTTGTGAAAATTTAGGAACTGACATTTTATGCACTTTCTTAGTGGTCTGGTCAGTTCCACGTTATGTACTAAATTTAACTTAATGTACTATATACATTTCACATGACAATGAAACCGTAAAAAAATAATGTCCTCTACAATACCCCCAAACCTAATATATAAATGAAAAGTAACGTAATTACTTTTAAATCCTTAGTTATAAAGAATGGGGGGCGCAAGTGGGAAGCTGGAGTTAGTTCGGCTGAAATAAACACTCGGCACTGCTTGCCCTAGTCAACAAATGTGTTTGCAAGACAACAAAAAGTTAGGATTTCTCATCGTAAAACACACCATAATGGGGGCTGTTTAAGTTTTTAAAACAAATACAAATCACTAGTTACGTCCACCGTCGATACATTTAATTGTCGGCGGGGCAGCGCGAGCCACGGGTGGCGGGTTCGCATAGCCTGTGACAAATGCAATGATTTTTTTTTTTTAGTCAGCTAAGCTACAAGCTAGCAGCTATTGCCCCTTTTAAACGCCGCCGTGCAGTAGACGAGAAGTGTGCGCGGCCGCCATTAGCCAACGCCGCAGCAACGGGCAGGATTGCGAATACACCCTTTTTAGTGCACACTTTTACGTTTTGTTAGCGCTCGGTGGAGAAAACGGAATATTCCTCGTCGTCAAACGAACGGCGACCGTGTTTTTGCTTTGACGATGTTTTGAGGTAAAAGTGTGGCGAAGGGGGAAAATACTGCGAACGGAAATTTAGTCCCCCCCCAAAAAATCAAAGATGGAGACCGTTTCTTTCTTCCAGACCTTCAAAGACGACAGAATGACAACATGGCGACCTACGGAGAAACAGTATGCCACTCCGAGCCTGTTTTTTTTTTTAAGTGACACGCGTTGTTAAATAGCCATCGTGGAGACCGACGTGTTAACACGGCTGCTTTTTAAACACATTTCGCCGCCGCTTTTCAGTCCCGAGGACAAACAGCGGGCGTCGAGTTTTGGTCTACCCACGCACGGCGCCCGCCACTAGGTGTCGGAACTCGTGTCAAAACGAATGACTGCTCGACTTTGACGTTAATAAAGCCACCGGACTAGAATACAATATCCCGAAATTATCATGTCGAATGTGACAACAGTGGCGTTTAAAGACGTTTGGATGTGAGTTGGATTGTAACGGGGATTTAATGACGCCATGCGTTTTGTAGGGCTGCCACCACTATGGCGGATGGGCTAATATGGCGGGAAGACTGCAAGTTGGGAGGCTGCCGTTTTAAATGAGCCACACTAGCCTTGAGGCCATTGAATAAACACTGTAAACATAATACACGTTTACTAGATCGGAAATATCCTTAATAAGTCATCATTCTGTCATGCGCCGTGACTTATTTCCAAGTTTTGCAACACTCCCTTTTCAACTTAACATCCTCAACAAGCCAAATTTGGAAATACACTTGAGTGGATTATTATATATGAACCAAGCTAAGATAAAACGAGTCAAATCTGTATACGTTATGTACAACATGATTGTTTTGAGAGGACCAAAGTCTTTTTTTTTTTTGTTATTCATACTGAGTGTGGCTATTAGCACTAACCTAGTTATAATGACGTGCCTCTGAGCGGAAATTGCTGTTTTTTTTAAACACACAAAAAATATATACGATTCTAGCCCCTTTCCTCAATTCGCGTTCAGTTCCTAAAGATGAACAGTTTAATGTCATTTGTGTTAAAACGAGCGCCCCCGTTCAGGGGTTAAACACCATGCTAAGTAGCAGCAAACATGGCTACCCAACTCGGTAGAAAGCCCACCGCGAGATCACCGAAATGCAGCAAGCGCGGGGCACTACATTTCCCTCAAATATCCCCAGAAAGAGCGTACTCGTGGTCAGGTCGAGACCGGGGCGGCTTTGGCGCTGCACCGCCGAACACACGAGGGGGGTGGCGGCTGTGAAACGGTTAAAGCGCCGCAATAACGCCGAAGCGAGCGGAGGAATTGCCGTCTCAAAGTAGCGAGCGAACGCCGCGTTCCCTCTTCGTCTCCCGGCTAGAGGCTCCGCATCGATCGACAAGAGAACCGTGCGGTGTCTGTTACGTTAACCGTACTCTGAAGCAAATTTCAGGGGAGAAAAAGTAGCAAGCTAAGCTAACGCGGCCAGCTCAGGAGGAAACTAAATGGCTTTGCTTTTCAAAAAAAAAAAAAAAAGCACGACTCACTTCAGACGGTGTCTTGTTTCTTAGCTCCAAGTGGATCCTGTTTTCCATCAACATGGTGCCCGCCGGTGGTGAAACTTTTCTCGCCGGGTCTTTTTTGTTTTTCCTTAAGAGGGTCCTTCAGTCCAAAACGTAGAGAGATGCCCTAACGGCGGAGGGAGAATATAGGGGGTGGGGGGTAGCCGTGTATAATGAACTGAGCCGACGCTAAGTTAGTCGGAGAGGAGAAACCATGGAGGGAAACCGGACTGAAACAAAATATAATGCTCAACAGCGCCACCTATCACCAGAAACGCCCAGCCAAGCGCCTCCTAAAGGGGAAACGACAGAGCTTTAACAACACCACTGCTGTGCTGTCTGTCTGATTGAGTGTTGCTGCATTTAAGTTAAAAACAAGTTACCTAGTTGATGTTTAGAAAAATGCACTTGCTAAAAGAAGTATATTTTCCTCTGCATTACTTTTAAATTATAGTCAGACCTGCTCTGACTATTCCTGTAATTATTGTGACTTTTGATCAATAAACCATCTGTTGGTTTCATCTTGCTGCCAGTTCTTTCTTTTTTTTGTACACTTTGGGTTGCATTAAAGAGAGTGTTGTACTGTATATGAGGTATCCAGGGTCCACCCTCAATCCTAAACCCCTCCCAGCCTCCTGAAACACCAGCTTCCTAAAATTCCCAAAAGGTCTACCAGATAGTTGTGTGAAGGTTAAGAGCATGCATGCTATTCTGCATCAAAATCCGATATTATTATTGTGTGAATGTTGGAAGAACATTCAAATTAATTGAGTTTTTTTCTGTAATGACGTTTAATGCATCTCTCAGTTCAAAACATTTCGACTTCAACAGGTTAAGCTCATCTAGAAAACCCACGCTACATTTTTTTCTGCAAATTTTTGCTTTTACTATAATTCCACTTTTCTAACATTTCAAAACAGAGGTCACCAGTTTTTTGGGAAACTGAGACCTACTTCTTGGGTACTGACATTTTGCAGTTTGACACGTGCTTCTTAACTGCAATTATTTGGGAGTAAATCATCTCAGCCTTGTCGTTTTGCCGGCTCACTATTCTCCATCCATGCTATGATCTAGTCATATGCTCCAAAAGCCGACCTTTGACCAATACAGTTTTTTTCCTTTTTTTTGCACTCACCATTCCAAGTGTAATTTAAAAAGCAAGATTATGTGCATTTTATTTTGGCAAGGGAAGCTTTTTTTGTTACAGTTGTAACTGGTAAGCTCTTTTTAGAACAAGGCCACAGGCTACTTATGAAATCCTCAGGCCCTACCTGGTACCCACCTGTTCCAAAATGTCGATCTTTTTCAAGCCATGACAATGTCAACATATGTGGCCCATTCACAGCACAACATGTAAGATACTATTTTTCCATGTTGCACAATTTTCTACTTTTGTGACATTCTGAAACGTCCATGTTTCTCAACTGATTCAAACCATTCTGACTTTCATTCTAAACATTCTGAATTTCAGTTCATTTAGACATTTCTTTTGTTCTTAAGTTCCCAAAAATGTCCACCTTTCCCACAATTCCACAAGAAATGATAAATATTCAAAGGAAGACATTTTTGAAAAATCCTCAAATTTACATTTTTTTCCCCAGTTGATTCCAACCTCCAAACATTTACATTGATTTTGATGTTCCTCGAGGTTCCACCTTTGCCGTAATTTCCATTTTTATGCTATGCCAAAATGTCCACGTTTCTCAACCAACTCAGCATTTTACCTTCAAAATATTAAGGTAATTCAGAGTATTTATTCCTAGTCACAAATTTCCACTGTCCATATCATTTTAAAAAAATGGAATAATATTCAAATTTCTGAACCAACTCAACATTCTAATTGAAAATTCCCACTTTTTAAAAATTCGCCATTTTCTCGAAGAAAACTCCCCTAATTGATGGAAAAATTCCACAATTTTACACCTATCCTATAGTTCATGCTAAATAAAAAATATGACTTACAGTATTTTCAATCTGTCAACTCTTCCGCATTCACAGGTAATTTCTTTAAAAACTGGCAATTTGTTGTTTTCATTGATGATGGTACATTTTGATTGTGAAGAAAAGGCTAATTTCTGCGCTTTCATCGATGTGTTCGATGTACCTTATGTGTCAAATTATTAATGTTCCTGCTCAATTTGTACATTAACGAATGTTTTGGTACTGAGGACAGTGTATCAGAAGATGGCACTGTTGTGCGATTCCCCAACACAGGCTGCATTGTGCTTTTTTTTTTTTTTTTTTTTTTTTTTTGCAGCCCATGGCGTGCTACGGTCATCATTCATGCACTTTAAGAAACGTGTGTATACTTTTGGAGGAAGTTCGCTCACTTACTGGATATTCTCAATGCATCTTGACAGGATCCTACTTGAAAACCGGCTTTTGGATCTCAGTATCAACGCAAATAGACATTTGTTTCCTCTCTGGGACTCAAACATATTATGTGGGAAATGAAAACTGGTTCTTTTTGAGAACGCTTCTCATTAATTTGAGTTCCAGAAATCGTTTGTTTGCTTGCTAGACAATTAGTAATTCCTCTTAGTTCGCCAACAAGTGATTATATCTGTGCGATATCTTTGCACAGACCTGGGCAAAGCGTATAATATATGGAGCTTTTATTTTGAAAGTTTTTCTTTGACTGTACAGTACTTGTGCTCACGCGTGGACGCTGGTACAAAAGGGGAAACGAGCAAGAGCTATGACTTGCCAATGCAGGGTTGCCAATTAGCAACGTTTTCACTATTTTTAACAACTTTTCGAAAACCTCGAAAAAAAAAAGACTGACAAAAATGCCAACAGCGGTCCTAATCTTAGCCACATTCTTATTTCCTGTACGGTGGAGGGAAGAAGGCCATGACGATTTGAACTGATAATACTATATGCGAATATCACTCACTACTATTGAGAAAATAATGCACTTATTTACCTCTATTTAGTACCATAAAGTAACATCAAATTTATGCCAAGCGTCTAGGGTGCTAGCTTATTTGGTATCTACATTCCGGTCGCAAACTCTTCTCTTGGTTATTCTTATTGTGGTGACTGATTTGGGAGGTACATTATAAAGGACACTCAACACAACCAGGTGCTGCTGTATTTGTGTCCATGTGGCGACAGCGTCAATTGAAGGTGGGTTCACGATTGGCGCTTACTTGGTTCCACATCACAATCTCAGAGTTTGTGGCTCAGCTCTTTATTTTTTATTTTTTCACAATTTTTGTCCCTGACTGTTTTCCGAGCAGGTTGTGAAGGAGAAATTACTTCGAACATACCTCACAGTGAAGGATAATAGCTCAGGATGATCTATAAGAGAGATCTAACAATTTGGTGACTTTGATTGGAACACGGCCAGAGGGGGATACCCAAATTCAACCCGATCATTCGGATGTGTGTACCCACCTTTACACTAACAATGGGGCCCAACGAAGAAAAAAAAAATCTTCGTTCAATTTTAGGGCCCAAAGTGTGTGAAACGTTTTCAAAGTATTGCTTGCACCAACCAGGTGCTTCACAACAACAACAAAAACAAAAAAACAATCCTAGCTTCTAACTTACAGTAGCTTTGGGCACTATTGGCTTAGTTGAGTGTTATTTATTTACCCTGCTGGACTGCCTCCCTCTTAGATACACACACTTACACAAACGCACACGTCCACACACTCGAGGGACTCAGTGTGTTGTGGGAAGATTGAGAACACACCCCTATTGAGCTGCTCTCCCTTGGTGTGAGATAAGCGTTGTGAAGATTTCTGTTAACAAGAGTGAGATGAATTTTAAAAAACAAACAAAAAAGCAACTCCAAGGATTCCTGGGCTCTAAAGTATGAAGTTATGCCATGCTTTTTGTACCATATTTACAATCGAACTACTCACACCCTCGGCCGTTTGATATTGGCTAATGTGGCAATCATTATCCAACGTCGGTCAAAGGTTACCGCCGTCCGGCACAACAACTCACATTTCATGTTGTTTAACTGCTCACAAAACAAGCACTTTTTTTTTTCTCGCGTTATATTTCCTGGTGTACGGTGGCACATAACTTTCTGCGTGTACTTAGCTCTGTCAGAGCCTTGCCAACTCCCCCACCCCGGCTTTGCAAATATGATAAGACCAGCCATGCAGGAGCTCTCGCAGCACAGCGGTAATGGTTAACCAGATAATTTCATATTTGGGCGGGAGTTGAAAACAGACTTGTCTTTCCCTTTTTCTTTTTCAAACGCCTGCCTTTGCAACGAGCTGCCGGTCCCGTCGTAGCGAGGACTTACCATGGAGGAGACATTACGGCAAGAGATTGAATATAAAAGCCAGAATGAAGAAGACCAAGGTATGGATTCAAACTTGGTTTAGAGTTGAGGTTCAAGAGCAACTTTCATGACGCCAAGGTGAAGAAGCATGAGACTTGCTCGCATTGTTTTTAGCCATTGTAATAGTCAAGGATGAGTTCAGTTTCCTTTTTAGATTTCTTACATGGGTACTGAAGAAATGTTACCTTTATTTAAAAAAAAAAAATGTACGAAGCCAACTGCAGTGCTACTTGGGTGTTGACCACCGTTCACCTTTAGTTTAAAATAACCGAAGAAGCCAACCGGAATTCTTCTTGGTTGTGGAAGACCAACTGGAATTCTTCACACTTGGTGAAGATATTTCACCTTGGATTCAAGTTGAACCATCATTTCGGAAACGAAAAATAATTTCAAGAAGAATCAGTGGCAACTGAAATTCTTCACTGGTTGCTGAAGAAAATTCGCCTTTAATCCAGCGGAACCAGATTTCTTTCGTGTTGTAGCCTCAACTTCTGAAATGTAAAACAACTTCAGCAAACCAATGAAAATGTTTTGTATTTTTTTTACGATCTGGACGATTACGTTTTGGACAGATCATTACGGTGCTTTCCCTAAAGCTACAAACATACCGTTTTAAATTCCACGCTTGACAATCCTCAACACTTGAGGGATTTAAGGTCCATTGATTTTATTAACCAGTTTGGTTTCTGTTGAACCTACTGGTTCCTTTATTCCCAGACTTTTTTTTTTTTTTTTTTTAGGTTGTTATTTACCCGGCAGAAGTCTTTCCCCTTCTTCCAGAGTGTCTGAGATCAAGGAACCGGGAAGTTCAATTATAAGTAAAAGCAAGAATGAACTTGACTCAAGTTTGGTTTCTGTGTTTTGAAAGGTGGCATCCGTGGCCGATTGAGGGACAGAGAACTTCTCAAGAGGAAAAGAGCCGAAGCGGAGGAGAAGGAGACTTACCAGTGGGTTTTGGGGTAAATTTGGAGAAAAGCAAGCATTGTATAATCCAATCATTGACATTTCTTGTCAGACGGTTGGCTCCTTTCATTGTTTTGACAAGTGAAATTTTGTCACGAGAGAGTTTGCACACGGCGCGTTTCTAAACAACAGGCTCGGTGAAAAAATGATCGCCACTTTAGATTAGCACCGCTCTGCTTCTACTGAATATGGGGCACGAGCGACTAGCAAAAGGTTGCTACCATCTGGTGCCCTCTATTGAGCCTGCACATCCAGGTCACGGGACTTTGCGCGAGTCGCTTTGCCAAAGACTTCAGAAGAGCTCTATCAACATCCACCATTGTTCAGACTAATCCCAATTGTTTGCGCTCTTTTTTTTCAGAGTGGAGAGCCTGGGGAAAAGACAGAAGGCTGACCAGAGGAGAGGCGCAAAACGGAGGGGGAGGCCCAAGAAGACGGATTGCACACCAGAAAGCTCTTTCACCCAGGAAGTCAAGGTTGCGGACCCCGAAGCTCCTGCCGTCGAGGTTCTTCCACAATCAGTGGCGGTGATACCAGCATTAGGATTAGACTCTCTACCGACTTTGGGCAGCGGGACTCTGGAACCAGTCTCAACATGGTTGCCAAACCCAGTTCTTACTCCAGATCCCAACGTAGCACTCGTTTCACCTCCAAGTCTTGTTCCGCCACCCATCAGAGTTCCTCCAGCTCCAAGTGAAGCTCTGTCCGCTGCTCCAGATGTTTTTCGGCCTTCCTCTGCAGCGTTTCCACCTGCGGCGCAAGATCTGGCAACCATTTCCGATCAAATTTCAGCTCCGGATCTTGCTCCGCCTCCCATCGCAGTTCTTCCAGATCTGTCCGCTGCTCCCGATCAGGCTTTAGCTCGAGGTTCAGATCTTATTCAGGCTCCCGGTCCTGTCCCAGATCTCCCGACGGCACCAACTACAGCTCAGTCGTCTTCTCCGGATTCAGATCTTTTTACGCCCCCCGCCACAGATCCTCCAGTTTCTGTCCAAGACCTGTCCACAGCACCGGGTCTTGTTCCAGTTTCGGCTCCGGATGTTGTTCTTGTTTCCGCTCTATCCCAAGCCCCTGTGTCGTCAGAAGTAGTCGGAGCTCCTGCCAGTGCCATTCAACGGGTGGAGACCCTGTCCACAGATTCTCAAGACAAGGAGAACATCGACCTGGTCCCCATTGAAGACTTGGGCCCAGACGAGCTAAAAAATGATGTACCTCCAACTCAGGACAAAAAAGCTGATGAAGGTGACGGAATTTGTGAAAGGGAAAATATAGGTGAAGACAGTTGAATCTAAATGTGTTGGAGCAACATATTATCTGTTTTCATTTTTCCCCAGATGTGAGCGAGATGCCGTCAAACAATGAGCCAGAATAAAATAAGATCTTGGCAATGCCATCATGCAATGCCATCATTGACCCCGCTGCCGTAAGACTACCTCCCAGGAAATTGATTCTGATTCTCTTTAGCCATTCTTCATACACTGACTCATAACATTGGGGGGGAGGGGGGAGTCCACCGGTGGGTTGTTTTATTATTCTGTGATTAGCTTCAGTATTATTTTAGCCCAAAATGCAGTCATGGATGTTGTGGCAGAAGAGACAACAAATTAATTTCTCCCCATAATTAAACCAATGACTTTCTCACCATTATTATTTTTAAAATTGGATGTGACTCAAGCAGCAATATCATTGTAAATGGGAGAATAATTTTGTTGACTCTGTAAAAACTGTTTCACCCAATAAAAAAAATATGCTCACGTTTGCAGTTATTGCTGTTCATTCTTACGTGGGCAAAAATAAATGTGTTAAGACTGATCTTCAACTCCCCATTTATCATCATGAATATGCAAAATTTGACAGATTAGAGCCCTTATAGACCACCTTATACTGTAGAACCTTTTCGTTATTTTATTTTCAATTTAACCATATTGTGCTGAGCCAGGACCGATATAATTAGTAATTTGAAGGTACATTTTTAATCTCTTTGCACGCACATGTGAACATATCCTTGTAACCATCTGATCTTAAAATTACAGTGCAGTGTGCACAAGATTACAGTGCATTTTTTGCCCTGAGATAAAAGATAACGCTGTGAAATAAGAGGAATGGAACGGCTGCCCTTTGCTGGTTAAAAAATGGAACTGCGTAACATGTGTGTTTGAAATTCTGTTTAATTGCAAAGGTTTAAGGACACGTGATATGTACTAGTTAAATAAAACTGTGAAAGATGCAAAATATATATATATATGTTCATAAATATTATCACAAAGCATCCAAACAATATATTATTGATAGACAGTACTTCACTTGTGGAAATAGATCCCGTCCGATCGATGGGTGGCAGTAGCGATCCATGATCCAGTTTACGTTGTCAGTATAAACCCAAGAGCAAGAGTGCTTGCAGCGTGTTTTAGCTAGCAGATACGGAGTGAAAATACAGTATAGCGATCATTTTCTCAATTTGACTTGTCCAAAATGGCTTCTACCAGTGACTGTTGCGGCGAACGTGTTGATAAATTGAAACAGCAGGTGTTCGTGATGCGAAAAGAAATCAAGAATCTCCGGTAGGCTCCTTTGAAACGCGATTAGAAGTCGTAAAAAGCATAGTGGTACTATGTGGAATAGTCATCTCATCATCCATGCAATCGTTTTATAAACCGCTGGTCATGTCATGAAATGTCTTTTGGGATTCCGTGGTTTGCATTACAATAAACGTGCATGTTTTTTTTCATTATCCACGAGCGGTTATGATACGGTATACACGCTTGTTTTCCTTCGCAACAAAATAAGTACCTGTATAGTCATGTCTATTAACTACGCCTGTCTAAGGTATTGATTTACAATAGGGCTCTGTGACAAATAATAACCATTGCCAATATAATACAATAATGCTCACTTTTGGTACATTGTACTGTAACGTAAATCTGCACTGCACTAGCAAAAAAAAAAAAAATGCACATGTAAAATTGCTTACTTTAGAAAAAAATATTTAAAATAAATAGACTAATTATTGTAAAACGTAAATGCGTAGAGAAAAAAAAATGTAAATGCTTGATGGACCGAATTAGTTTGTACGCCACTATATTAGTGATTCAAGATACATACTCTGCTACATTGTCTTAGTTACAGTCAGAACGGTTCTTCGTCCTAAAATCGAGGACACCTTATTCTCATAATTTGCCTTTCACCAACAGGCAGATGCTGAACAATGCAACCAGAGCTCATCGCAAACATATGCTTTCAATTGAGTCCGCTGTGTCCAAGGTTGGTGCCTGGGAGCAGAAGAAAAGCCAACCTCCACCGACGTCACCCCAGACAGCTCTTGAGCATGGTAATGATAGCAGCAGATTTTTGCAACACGAACAGTTTTTCATTGCAATTAACTGTGCCATTGCAGGAAAAATCCAAACGTTGCCGATTGGATACATTCATTCCTGTTTCACTGAGAAGAACGGGACTCCCAGACAGCCCACCATCTGTGGATCCTCGAGGGCGGAACTGCAACTGGAGCAGAGCGTCTTCAATAACCCTGAGCATGCCCTCGTAGGGCTAGAACAGTTTTCTCATATCTGGTAGGTCCTGCGGGGTTTTTTTTTTTTTAAAGAAGCTCCAACATTTTTGCAGCACTGCTGCATCTTGGAATTGTACCCAGAACTAAAAGTTCCCGAACCATTTAGTGTCAATATGACGACAGATACACTATGTACTTGATATTCCGTCAACCTTTAGTGCCTTTTATTTTCTGGAACCAAAGGTACCCAGAACCAAAAGCTGCCTAAAACATTTGATGGAAATGCGGCTACAAATGCAGTAGGTCCTTTAAGTTCTGTGAACCTTGTTGTTCCAGTAATTTCAGTAGCTACAGACACAATGGGTGCTTTTAGGTGCACCAGATTTTCCTTCGAACTTAAGTTGTATTTTTGGCTATATATTCAAAGGCGACATTAAGTTCTGGGAACCTTTTAAATACTGAAATTCAAAAAGCCCAGAACCAAACATTTTCGCCATACTGAGCAGCCAGGACAGAGCTGCTCCATTTTTCCACTCCTGTGAAGCTATCAAAGGAAGAAGCACCGGTGGAGTGAGTGCTTTGAAAGCTCACTGACCTGAAGTCTCATGAGATATTCTTCTTTCCATGACAGGGTTATCTTTCTCTTCCACAAAAACGGCCACTTGAGTCACAAAGCCAAAGTGAAGCCCCCGAGGCTGAACGGCAAGAGGGTCGGTCTGTACTCGACTCGCAGTCCGCACCGGCCCAACGCTTTGGGCCTGACTCTTGCAAAGCTGGACAAAATTGTTGGTGTGTATATCATTAAAGGCGACACACACACACACACACACACACACACACACGCACACACACACACACACACACACACACACACACACACACACACACATATTGTTGATTGCTGATTTAAATTGGCTCCACTATTTCATTCTGACCAGCCAAATTTCAGAATGGTTCACCCATGACCACATTTCCAGAAATACAGATTTACTTGGTTGTTCATCTTCACTCTTGTTTGGTGGGCAGTCACCCCAGATACCAAACTATTTGCTTACAAGCAATTAAAAAGCACGTTTTCCTTAATGAGTGGACAAATCCAGATATTGCGCATTGATATATCTCTGCTTCATTTCTAGGTGATACGCTACATCTGTCAGACATTGACATGATTGCCGGCACCCCTGTGCTGGATATTAAACCCTACATTCCGGACTATGACTCCCCCTGCAGTCGGAGGACCACACACTCGGAGCCTTGTCAGCCCAACACAGATCGCGCCCCTTTGTCACCTCGAGAACTGATTCAAGCGCAGTTGATAGAAAAAGGAGCAGGTCAATTTGATGATAGTCCAAATCCCGTGGAGCCTCTCGGCATGTTGGAGGAAGTGAAGGCCTACTTAAGTAAACGGGACCTCAGTCAGGTAAATTACGACTGTGCGCCTGGCTCTGAAGACCATCGGGGGTCTGAGCAGGATCGAAGGCCATGTTACACAGAGGAGGCCTACAGCACCATTGCTGGCTGGATCAGAGAGCCGCCAGTCGACAGCCTGGAGGTGCGCTTTACCCCAACCGCACAGAGGCAGTTGGCCGACTTCTTTCCCACCACGCAGACAGGTAATCATTTGAAGCCTGTTTACCGGATGAACCATATTTCTACCATGTGGTCTCCAAAGTGATCGATCTGGGTGGGTCAGTATGGAGGTTAAGTCAGATTATTGATGAATTTGTCTTTCACTTCGTTACAACTTTTACGGTATGAAAGGTGATCAGCCAAGCGCAAAAAAGACTAAGATCAGGCTCCACTGATCAGCAGCATAGTCGGCTGAACCGAAGAGTACCACACGAGGGAAACAGTTTTCAAAATGTTTTTCAGATAATGAAACAGGCGATGGGTTCTTATCCAAACTTTTCATGTGTTCCAGGTCCCTCTGATAGCGAACGTCCGAGGTTCAGGTTTCTGCGTAGTTCCGACGAGGCCGCCGCCGCCATCCGAGGGGTGCTCTCCGCAGACCCGAGGTCGGTCTACCGGAGAACTCGATGCAAAGACAAGCTTTTCTTCTTCACCCTGGACACTGCAGACATAACCTGCTGGTTTGGACCAGGCTTTGCAGAAGTGCTGCAAATTCAACCTGTTCAATGCCCCGTTGACTCAAAGTAGAATGAGCTCCCTTATGGCTGCTATTTTGTTTTGATCTTGCATTCTTAACAAATAATGTGAAAAAAAAAAAGTTTTTGCTTCTACAAAGGAATCAAGTGTGCATATTAAAGACGTTCTGCAATCGTATGTTTTCAACTTGTCATACTGTATACTGTATCTCATGACCTCTTAATGTGGAAGAAGTCCTTTACTCTGTCTATGAAAAAAAAAGAAAAACCTTCTATGATGATTGACTGTGTATTTACCGAGTGCTATATTAATGAATATGATAATAATAATCTATCATAAGTAATAATAAAATAACCATATCTTGCTCATGGATGACATGCTAAAATTCATCTAAAAGTGACATAAATAAATGTGAAGGAATGTAATTAATACGAAAATAAAATAAGACACGAAAGACAAGCCATTTAAAAAACTCTCAGGACGTATACGTATTTTTAAAAAGATTATGAATGGATAAATAATGGAAAAAGATTATGGCTTTGGCGTCAACAGTCCTGGTTCGATTGGCGCAGTTTCGTTCCGTCCTGTAGGTGGCAGCAATATAAAACTGAGTCCAAACGCATGCTTATTCGAAACATCATGACGAGGAAGAAAAAAATTGACCAATAGCAAAGCGGCTATTTCTGTTTTGAACGAAACGCGCTTGTTGACGGTTTCACGGAAGGTTTGACACATTTTCTCTACACATTTTAATTAATGTCGTGAGACACTACTGAGCCAGAAAGTTTTGAACATTTATGCACTTGCTAAAAGAACACAGCCAACTCATTCCGGCGCGACTATTCGGTTTCGCATTTGTTTGTATTCACTTCGAGGAAGCAGTGTCCCTACTTGCTCATACGAACCGTTTTGCAGCACGCCGAAGATGTCAAGTCGAAGTGTGGAAGGCTCGGTAAGAATTGAAATATTTTTGGGGGCATAGTTTTAGAAAATTCCAGCTTTGAAGTGCTGTAGTTTATATTTTGATTCGAATGCTTGTTTAGCCTTCCAGGAGATATGAGGAGCGCCCTCCGTTGAGAAGTTTAGAGAATGAAAAGCAGCATCTGTCTACTCCACCGAGACGCAAGTCCAAATCACTGATGAAGGTACCATGTTTACGTTTAAAGAATACGAAAACATTTTATACTTCTCTAATTATAAATAGCAGTACATTATACTGAAAAATACGTTGATTATTAATTACAGGATGAAATGTTTTTGTATTTACTGTACCAGTAGAAAATCTAAAAAGTAATTGCTTTAAAATGATATAACACCGTAAAAAAAAAAAAAAATATATATATATATATATATATATATGAAAATGATGGTGGGGTTTTTTTTCCACCCAAAAATAAAATAGAAGTCATATTAAACAATTATTTCGATGGATATATGTTGAAAATGGGCAGTGGTGAAGGAAATAATATAGTATAAAAACAGGAAAATGTATCATACACTTTATACACACACACACACACACACACACACACACACACACACACACACACACACACACACACACACACAGAGGGCTGAAGCCTCATAAGTCACAATTTGGTAAATGGAATCATTTTCAAAAATTTATGCTAGCTACTAGTCATGTGGGTGTTATTTTACTATACTTTTTTAAAATATAAATTATTGACCAATCTAAATCAGTGAAAATGGCTTTCTCTCCATGATGATGCAATGTTGGTGATTGTACAAACATGCCATTTTGGGGTCTGCTGAAACTACACTATTTTGGAGATACAAGGTTTCAGACCAGTGCCAACAATATTTATATATGGAGAATATTTAGTTTTGCACTGGGAAAAAAAGATTTAAAAATACAACTATTTGTGTTATTTTTATGTTTCTGCTTCTCTAACGCACTCATTGTAACCAACAGGCGGATGTTTGTCTCGGCTTGTGCTCTCCTCCACCAGCCAATGTGACACAAACCATCAAAATGGGCACTTTTGGACCCGTCGATCTCACATTTCAATCCTTCATCTGCTCCGGTGGCGAAGTGATGATTTCAGAAGAGCCTTCACTGTGCACAGAAGACCACATTTTCTTGCCTCAAGACCAAACTGTTGGTGGCACTTGTGAAAAAGATGATATGGGGACCAGTGAAACCTGCAGCATACACATGGAACATCCTTACTGCCACCCTGAGCGAACGGATCCTGCTGTGGTTGAAATCATTCCAGCCAACACAGAGTCTGACAGCAGTGAGCTGAAAGTTTCGGCTGGCTCCAGGCAACCAGGTGAAACCGTTCCTCTTGTAATGGACGGTGAGCATGTGGATAATCCCAACGACTGTCAACGTGAAGGCGCTCTGAGCGCAATCTGCGATGTGACATTCAAGTCATTCACCTGCGCTGGGGTTGAGGTGGAAATTCCCAACGTCACTAAAGTGGTAGATGAGACAGTTCCTCTTCCAGCAGAGCAAACGGTCACCAGTCATTCGGAGCTGAGCTTTTTACCTGCTGATGTGCATCTCTGCAGCGAACACTTTGACCACCCGTACTTCCGTTTTGAGACCAATGTGGACACCTTTGGACAAGAGGCTGCCTTGTTGAGCGCTTTTGTCGCTGTTCCGGGGGAACAGGCTGAAAACTCCCAGCTCCTCCATAATGAGTCTCTCATAGTGAATCACGTTCAGAGCAGCCAAAATGACGACAAGGCGGTTACTCTTACACCAGCATCGGACAAGACTCTCACTCACCATTCAGTTTCTTTAAAAGTCCAAGATGGATTTGATGATGAAATTCCCCCGGTCACCGAAATGTTTAACGAGACGTTTCCTCTTCCAGAGGAGCAAATTGCAAGCGGTCAATCCCAGCCACAAATTTTACCTGCTGAGGTGAAGGAATGTGGTGATCTTTTAAACTGTCATTTTGAGAAGAATCTTCTAGATCCTCACATTGAGACCAAAACGGAAAATTGCGGGCAAGTTGCCGGTGTTCCAGAGGAACAAACTAGTCACTCAGAGTTCCTGACCAAGAACCAAACTCTCACAATGGATCCCATTCAAGTGAACCCAAATGATGATGTTTTAGGGACTTCGACACCATCATCGGAAAAGACGTTGGCGCCCGAGTCAGTTTATTTAAAAATCCGCGTGACACCAGAGAGGGTTGACGATGGCAAGATGGTCCCCGAGGGGCAGCTGAATCTGGACTTCAGCCAGTCCAGCGAGGCCAAGGACAGCGCACTGGGTTTGTCTGAAAACAGACCGCATGTCCCATCACCTGTGGGTGAACCTCTAACGGAGACCTTGCCCACTGTTTTAAAAGTGCTCTCAGAGCGGCCGTCTGTCGTGTCGGCTCTTCAGCTCATCAGTCCGATTCGAAGGGCGTCGCTCACCCTCGCGAGGGCTTGCAGGAATCCCGCTGACCACTGCGAGAAGAATCCGCTTTCACCGGACGGTTCCGAGATGGCCGCTTTGTGGACGGACCACTTGGAGAGCCCGCTGCCTCATCCCCTCTTCAACTCCACCACTCTGTGCAACAAGCTCCAGCCGGAGGGTCCGCAGCCAGAGGATTTGGGGAAGAAGAATCACGGGTCGGCGCTTCCCGACGGGCCTTTGATTCCGGATGGTCCGCTCCAGCAGCAGCTACGGCAAATGGCGGAGTTTCTCCTGCTGGCGTCGGGAAAGATTGATTTTGCCGCACCTCCCGCAAAGTCTTGTGGCGTCGGGGTGGGCATCACCCCTGTAAAAATGTTGGATCGGAGCCTCAATACGTCAGGAGAGTTTGAGAGAAAGTCTGATTTGTCCAACGCGGATGCCTGCACGCTTACGGATCCTCTTCCTCTCATGTGGAAGTAAGTGATGGAAATTCTTAAATTTTTGAACAAACGTTATCGATTTGAATCGCCCTTCATCACAAGAGAGCCTCAAAGTCAACAAATATCAGTGACATCCCCTGATCTAAACCCCCGACAAATTTTTTTTAAATTGAATTTTCTATTTTCCTTTTAAAATAAGATCTTTTCAAATGAAGACGATTACAACAATTACAATTTCGACTGTGTGAGAAAAAAATATTCCAAGGAAAGAATTCTTGGAAAATATTGCATCGGGCTGCACGATGATTTTCTGTCCAAAATGCAAATCACAATTATTTTAAACAATATTGTAATTATTCCTGATGTTTAGGGGGGTGGGGTCTTCATTTTTTCCGGCCCTACTTGTGAACAAATATGTAAACAGCTTTCAATGCAAAATGAAACTTCAAATCCAGTCGATTATCATATCTTGATTAAATGAGAATCGTAATAATAAGCACAAACTCGAATTTATCATGGGCTAAATGAGTTCAAATGCTATTTTCTTGTTTGAAGTCACTTGCCCTGTACTTGAAACAGACAAAGGATGCTGATCAGGGTTAAAATTCAATCAGTTGTGCAGCTCTTATATGACAACAATAAAATAGATTTTTTAAAAAAAGAAAACAAGTCACAACAATAGTAAACAAACTTATGTGGAGAATTGAACGCGATCCCCCAGCTCCAACTGGTTTTCCCCCGTTTGTGTGCCTGGGCAGCTGTCCTGCAGGAAGCTTGGACAGCGTGCCAAGAGAGGAGCTCGAGCAGAGGCTGACATCCAGCACGGTCATGGTGGAGGCCTTGGTGCAGCAGCTGGCCGTGGCCCGGGCGCTGTGCGCCCCCTCTGCAGGCCCGCCGCCGTCCCAGCTGCGGAACAAGCTGGTGCAGACCGACCACACGGAGCTCAGCCAGGTGACTGACCTGACGTGAGAGTCTAGAAATTACAAGTCAAATCATTATTTCACCCTTTTTTTTTTTTTTTTTTGGTGCGTATTTATCACTAAGACGACAATGTATAGGGACTTGTATATGGCGGCGTTGGACAGGATTGGCAACTTGGAGGAAGATGGAAGATCTGTGCAGGAACTCATCCGGTATATGCAGGAAATGCGCGTCACCATGGTGAGCTCCCCCGTGTTTGTCCGTTACAAAAGATGTCGGAGGGAGATAATAACAGCCACGCAATGGACACTTGTCATGTTCACCCTCATTCCTTTTGCGCTTTGAGTTTCCCCATTATGCTAGCAACCTGCTCATCCGTTTTTTTTTTTTTTCCTTGTCTGA